CCTTGGCGCCCCCTCGCCTCTGGCACCCCCACCCGGAGAGGTCTTGCAATCCCCGACGCAGAGAGCTCAAGGGAGCCTGGCTGGGGGCACCCTCCGTTCAGTGCCATTGGCACGGTGGCGGGTTTTTGTTCTGAGAGGCAGAGGTTTACCCGTAACCACCGCTTGGGAAATGGATCGTCGGGGACCTCGGCAAGCAGTGGATGTGGGCATATCGCCCCCCCCCGCCGAAAAAGGTCCCCAAGTGGCTCCAAGACGGTCCAAGAGGCCGCCCCAAGACGCCCCGAAGAGCCCCTAGAGATTGCCAAACAAGCTAAAGTCGTTGCATTTCTGAGGGGCAACGTGCATTTTCAGCCGTACTCGCTTTTTTGTTTCCCGTGCTCCAGGACGGTTCGAGATGCCCCCCACATCGCCCCAAAACGGGTCCAGAGGCTTCCACAAAGCCCCACGAGGGCCTCAGGGAGCCCTACGACGGCCCAAGATAGCCCCGATACCGCCGAAGAGAGCCCCAAGACGGCCCCGAGAGGCTCCCAAGAAAGCCCCAAGACAGCCCCAAGAAGCCCCCAGCAGAGCCCCACGACGGCCGGAGCCCCCCGGGAACACCCACGCCCCAAGACGTTCCAAACCAGCTCCAAGACGGTCTACAAGGGCCTAGGAAACCTGGAAGCGCCTAATAACATGGACTCGCCTCCCTGTCCGTTCGTGCTTCCCCCTTCAGTGCTCATGACTGCTCCAGAAGCAGTAACCCCAAAGGGTCGGCGGAAGCGGATCTATTAGGTGGACCCCTACACATGCCACAGGCTCAATTTCTCACATGGGGCCGTGTCTGGATTCCCCATCACACGGATGGTTTTGCATTCTCATCATGCAGAAACTCTAAAAAGTTCTCGCGACAATCCCGGAATGCCTTCCAAGGAGGAGGCCACGCAGTAACATCTGAACATTCTAACAGGCACGCGTTCGCAAACGACGAGTAATAACGAAGAGGAAACACGAAGGACAGGTGATATATGACAGATTCGTAACAGCGGTGGAACTTACGGCAACAAGTAACCTTTGTTTTTGTTGGCTCTTCTTGCTCTCTCTCTCTCTCTCTCTCCCGCGCCCCGCCTGCCGCCTACGCGCCGATCCTGAATGACCAAGGTGCGTGGCGCGTAGCGTTAATGCTGCCTTGTGCATGTGTACCTATGTGTACGTATTTATATTAACCTATACGACTACCCTTCGGGTGATAAGGAGGTTCGGGGGGGGGGGGGGGAACCAACGAGTGCACTCGATCGGTCTCACTATCGATCTCAGTATCGATCTCACTAACGGTCTCGCTCGATCGATCTCACTCGATCGATCTCACAATCGATCTCACTCGATCTATCTCATTCGATCGATCTCACAATTGATCTCACAATAGATCTCACAATCGATCACACACTCGATCTCACATTCGGTCTCAATATCGATCTCACTATCGATATCACAATCGCTCTCACAATCAACGTCATCATCATCATCATCATCAACATCATCAACATCAACATCATCACCAACATCGTCATCATCATGAGGGCACCGTCATCATCATCATCATCATAAACAGCATCATCAACGTCAGCATCATCATCGGGACAACATCTTCATCATCACCATCATCATCATCCCATCATCAACATCATCATCATCGGGACACAGTCATCGTCATCATCATCAGCAGCATCATCATAATCATCATCATAACCGGGACACCATCATGATCACCATCGTTCTCATCCTCAACATTATCATCAACATCGTCATCATCCTCGGGACACCATCATCATCATCATCATCATCATCGCATCATCATCATCGACATAATCATCATCAACAGCATCATCATCATTGGGGCACCATCATTATCATGAGCAACATCATCATCAACATCGTCATTCTCATTATTATCATCATCGGGACACCATCAGCATCACCATCATCATCATCACCATCATCATCATCAGCATCATCATCGGGAGACCATAATCATCAACTTCATCATCATCAACATCATTATCGCCGGGACACCATTTCCATCAACATCATCATCACCAACATCATCGGAATCAGCATCATCATCATCATCGTCATCGTCGTCGTCATCATCATCATCATTATCATCGGGACACCATCATCGTCATCATCATCAACATAATCATCATGAGCATCATCATCCTCATCATCGGGACACTATCATCATGATCGACACAATCATCAACATCATCATCATCATCATCATCATCTTCATCGGGACACCATCATCATCATCTCATCATCCTCATCATCCTCATCATCCTCATCATCCTCATCATCATCCTCATCATCATCATCATCATCATCATCATCATCATCATCATCATCATCTCATCATCATCATCATCCTCGCGGGACACCGCGGGACACCGGCGGGACACCGCGGGACACCGCGGGACACCGGGGCGGGACACGCGGGGCCCGGCCGCCCGGAAGGGAATCATTTGGTCCGGCCGCGCCTCAGCCACACGGGACACCAGCGGGACACCGGCGGGACACCGCGGGGCCCCGGCCGCCCGGAAGGGAGTCATTTGGTCCGGCCGCGCCTCAGCCACAGGAGACTTTCTCTCGCCCGCCCACGCAGCTTCGCCTCGCCCGCACGGCACGCACGAACACGAAACCGAAATCGATTTCCCGGTAGGGGGGCTCTCCGTTCCACTTCGATCTCACCCCCTCACCTCCGATATACAGATACAAGAGTGCATTGGCGCTTCGCGACATGCACCTTGGTCCTTGAGGCTTTGCTTTTTTGGTCGTTCGCGCCATCCCTAGTGGCCTTGGAAACTTGGCGCCTTCCCTGCGGTGGTTGTCGGGAGTCTTCGAAAGTTCGGGCGGTCCGTGGCCCTTCCCGGGCTTCAGGGGCTCCCGGCAGGCGCCGGGATGAGAGCGAAGGACAGGAGGGAGGGAATCTCAGGGAGTGAGGAGAGGGAAGCGGATGTGGTGAGGACGAGCGGTGGAGCGGCAGAAAGAGTAGGAGGAGGAGGAGGAGGAGGAGGAGGAGGAGGAGGAGGAGGACGAGGACGAGGAGCAGGACGGGAGCAAGAGATGGCGCCGTCGGCGGACGGCGAAGAATTTCGCACCGAGGAGCACTGTCCAGAAGCCAACGGATTCAGTTTCATGTGTGCGTGCACGCTTGCAGAGATGTCTGGCAGTGAATGACGACGAAAGGCC